TTGGGTGGGTGTGTAGCACATGACTGTAAAGCTGCCGCCCAGTTGGGTGGGTGTGGAGCACATGACTGTAAAGCTACCGCCCAGTTGGGTGGGTGTGGAGCACATGACTGTAAAGCTGCCGCCCAGTTGGGTGGGTGTGTAGCACATGTCTGTAAAGCTGCCGCCCAGTTGGGTGGGTGTGGAGCACATGACTGTAAAGCTACCGCCCAGTTGGGTGGGTGTGGAGCACATGACTGTAAAGCTGCCGCCCAGTTGGGTGGGTGTGTAGCACATGACTGTAAAGCTGCCGCCCAGTTGGGTGGGTGTGGAGCACATGACTGTAAAGCTGCCGCCCAGTTGGGTGGGTGTGGAGCACATGACTGTAAAGCTGCCGCCCAGTTGGGTGGGTGTGGAGCACATGACTGTAAAGCTACCGCCCAGTTGGGTGGGTGTGGAGCACATGACTGTAAAGCTGCCGCCCAGTTGGGTGGGTGTGGAGCACATGACTGTAAAGCTGCCGCCCAGTTGGGTGGGTGTGGAGCACATGACTGTAAAGCTGCCGCCCAGTTGGGTGGGTGTGTAGCACATGACTGTAAAGCTGCCACCCAGTTGGGTGGGTGTGGATCACATGACTGTAAAGCTGCCGCCCAGTTGGGTGGGTGTGGAGCACATGACTGTAAAGCTGCCGCCCAGTTGGGTGGGTGTGGAGCACATGACTGTAAAGCTACCGCCCCGTTGGGTGGGTGTGTAGCACATGACTGTAAAGCTGCCGCCCAGTTGGGTGGGTGTGGAGCACATGACTGTAAAGCTGCCGCCCAGTTGGGTGGGTGTGGAGCACATGGCTGTAAAGCTGCCGCCCAGTTGGGTGGGTGTGGAGCACATGACTGTAAAGCTACCGCCCAGTTGGGTGGGTGTGGAGCACATGACTGTAAAGCTGCCGCCCAGTTGGGTGGGTGTGGAGCACATGACTGTAAAGCTACCGCATTGCTTACAAGATTGTTTTACAAGATTGCTTACAAGATTGTTTACAAGATCGTCTATCTTGCTTACAAGATTGTTTACAAGATCGTCTATCTTGCTTACAAGATTGTTTACAAGATCGTCTATCTTGCTTACAAGATTGTTTACAAGATCGTCTATCTTGCTTACAAGATTGTTTACAAGATCGTCTATCTTGCTTACAAGATAGAGATTGTTTTCCAAGTGCTTTTCATGTTGCCTTTTGCTTCACTGAATCTTTTCACATAATATGCAAATTTTGCCTTTCTTATGATACTGGTAAGCATTGATGAGTACCTTTTAGCTACTTCCTTTGAAACTAGGCCAATCCTAAGTTTCTTTTCATATTCATGTTTCTTGTTGATTGAGTTAAGAATGCCACTTGTGAGCCATGGATTGTTTAATCTTTTGTCAGTTACTTGCTTGGTAAGAAGGGGACAATGAAGGTTGTAGAGGCTTAGAGTTTTGGAGAGGAAGAGGTTAGCTAATGAATTTATATCCTGGGTATTATTGAATTCAGAATCCCAGTTAATATTGTGAAGTGCATCTGTAAGATTGCCTAAAGCTGATTCACTGTGTAACCTGAAAGTAAGTTTCTTGCTTTTTGGTGGTGTTATGTCCATGTTCGCTATGAGAAAAGTAGGATAATGGTCATTCACACCAGTTACCACCCACACAATGTGGTTAATAAATGGAATGCATTAGGAAGTGATGTGGTGGAGGCTGACTCCATACACTGTTTCAAGTGTAGATATGATAGAGCCCAATAGGCTCAGGAATCTGTACACCAGTTGATTGACAGTTGAGAGGCGGGACCAAAGAGCCAAAGCTCAACCCCCGCAAGCACAATTAGGTGAGTACACACCAAAATCACACCAGTTACTCCATCTATCATCATGCTATTATGCATGAAGAACCGCACGTCTATGGGTCATCCAATAATGTTAGCAGACTTCTAGATGTTACCATTGCTAGGCTTAGGCTCGGCTACAAGTACCTCTGGGAGTTCGTAACATCTGCTGATGTAGATTTGACTAAATGTAAACTCTGTCAGCAGAACTATTCGCATACTTTGCGTCATTATATAATGGAATGTGAAAAAAGTCGCGGAATTTAGAGATAACACCATCAATAGTGTCCAAGAAATGTGTAAGTACTTCATTCATAATGATGTGCTGCCCGAAATCTTAGCGAAGTATCCAAAATTTGCTGCCGCCCAGTTGGGTGGGTGTGGAGCACATGACTGTAAAGCTGCCACCCAGTTGGGTGGGTGTGGAACACATGACTGTAAAGCTGCCACCCAGTTGGGTGGGTGTGGAACACATGACTGTAAAGCTGCCACCCAGTTGGGTGGGTGTGGAGCACATGACTGTAAAGCTGCCGCCCAGTTAGGTGGGTGTGGAGCACATGACTGTAAAGCTGCCGCCCAGTTGGGTGGGTGTGGAGCACATGACTGTAAAGCTGCCACCCAGTTGGGTGGGTGTGGAGCACATACATGACTGTAAAGCTGCCGCCCAGTTGGGTGGGTGTGGAGCACATGACTGTAAAGCTGCCGCCCAATTGGGTGGGTGTGGAGCACATGACTGTAAAGCTGCCGCCCAGTTGGGTGGGTGTGGAGCACATGACTGTAAAGCTGCCGCCCAGTTGGGTGGGTGTGGAGCACATGACTGTAAAGCTGCCGCCCAGTTGGGTGGGTGTGGAGCACATGACTGTAAAGCTGCCGCCCAGTTGGGTGGGTGTGGAGCACATGACTGTAAAGCTGCCGCCCAGTTGGGTGGGTGTGGAGCACATGACTGTAAAGCTGCCGCCCAGTTGGGTGGGAGTGGAGCTCATGACTGTAAAGCTGCCGCCCAGTTGGGTGAGTGTGGAGTACATGACTGTAAAGCTGCCGCCCAGTTGGGTGGGTGTGGAGCACATGACTGTAAAGCTGCCGCCCAGTTGGGTGGGTGTGGAGCACATGACTGTAAAGCTGCCGCCCAGTTGGGTGGGTGTGCTGCCGCCCAGTTGGGTGGGTGTGGAGCACATGACTGTAAAGCTGCCGCCCAGTTGGGTGGGTGTGGAGCACATGACTGTAAAGCTGCCGCCCAGTTGGGTGGGTGTGGAGCACATGACTGTAAAGCTGCCGCCCAGTTGGGTGGGTGTGGAGCACATGACTGTAAAGCTGCCGCCCAGTTGGGTGGGTGTGGAGCACATGACTGTAAAGCTGCCGCCCAGTTGGGTGGGTGTGGAGCACATGACTGTAAAGCTGCCGCCCAGTTGGGTGGGTGTGGAGCACATGACTGTAAAGCTGCCGCCCAGTTGGGTGGGTGTGGAGCACATGACTGTAAAGCTGCCGCCCAGGGTGGGTGGGAGCACATGACTGTAAAGCTGGGGGTGTGGAGCACATGACTGTAAAGCTGCCGCCCAGTTGGGTGGGTGTGGAGCACATGACTGTAAAGCTGCCGCCCAGTTGGGTGGGTGTGGAGCACATGACTGTAAAGCTGCCGCCCAGTTGGGTGGGTGTGGAGCACATGACTGTAAAGCTGCCGCCCAGTTGGGTGGGTGTGGAGCAAGACTAGTAACTGTGTGACTCACCATAGATGTAAAGTGCCTTGTATAGTGACTGTTGTGAGCCTCTTGTTGTACCACTTGTGACACAAAGATTATTGATATGTGTATTTGTGTGGGTGATTAAATATGTATGTGTATGTATATGTGTATACGTATATATATATGTACATGTATGTATGAGGGTGTGTGTACATGCGTATACAACATTGATAATTTTGTAACAAGCGTCAAACATTGTTATTTGCTTAGCTAAACGAACTAGAGGGTTCAGTTCCTGACCCGATTATATGCCTCTGTAATCCTTTACACCACCGCCCACGGGATGGGTATGGGGTGCATAATAAAGAAAGAAATTGAATATATGTACATGTATATATAACATTAATAATTTTGTAAGTAGCGTCAAAAGATTGTTATTTGCTTAGCTAAACGAACTAGAGGGTTCAGTTCCTGAACCGATTATGTGCCTCTGTAACCCTTTACACCACCGCCCACGGGATGGGTATGGGGTGCATAATAAAGAAAGAAATTGAACTGACCCTTATCCGAAACGCTATGCGTAGTAGTGGCTTTAGGTATTGTATGTTCTAGTTCTATCTATAAATCCAACATTACTTGTAAATCATCTATGTATGTACTTTTCCTGAATTAAAATTTGAATTTGTACTTTAATCTCAACTAGTATTAATCTTCGTCAAAGTGTTTTCCTCCCCACACCTTGTCCGAAACACTCTGCGTATTAGTGGCTTTAGGTATTACATGTACTAGTGCTATCTATAAATCCAACATTATGTTTGTAACTCATCTTCTATGTATGTACTTTTACCTGAATAATCATTTTGATTTTTAGTTTGATTTTTATTTTGTACCTTCGAGTATATATATATATATATATATATATAAAAAAAAAAAACAAGCGTTTACGCAACCTGTACATCTTTCCTTAATAATGGAAGGGCTTGTAAACATTTATTAAACAGTTTATGTGCTCTAAAGCACTACGAGGTTGTTCATAATATTAATATTATTGGGTTGTGAAGTTTCTAATCTCGTAAACTGTTTAATAAATGTGAATGAAGCCGCCACAATTGATGAAAGATGTGCCGTAAGCGGTTACGTAAAGGCTTGGTGAAGCATGGCCCTGCCACAGCTTCAACTACATTTAATAAAACCATTATTGTTATTTATTATAGAGTTTCATAAATATTCACTCTGAAAAATAGTTGTTTCGATCGTTTCTATATTATGCGTAAATAACTTACAAATCTCAATATTCTTAAATTCACAAACGAAAACGTTATTCAGACATCCGCGCTAACAGCTACTCATCCAACGTTGATATATCGAGGAAATCGAACTCTAAAAATAAATACATAATGAAAGAAATAGCTAGAAAATTATTTGCATTTGAATATACTTTATTCTATGTTCTGGCCAGTTACGTGGACTGGAAAATAAGTTTTAAGATTAGTAGTTTGTGGCCTCAAGTTGGCTTGTTTACCAACAGAGGGCTGTGACGTCACGACAGAGAAATCTCAGGGTCGTCCGTTCCTCATGCGGTATTTTGGTATGTAAAGCAGGAAATTAGCTCTTAGTCGGGCTCTTGAGGCATGTGTGTAATATACAATAACCTTTCCTTTCATTTGGCTGAAAATGGGCGCTCAATTTTACCTGAGTGCTCTCTAAATGAGCAAATAAAAATTGATTAGGCTCATTCCACAACAGGTCTTACGGTGGCCAATATTACAAGTCTATCAAATTTTCATTTAAGTTGTTACATATCTTTAGCATTTCTGAAAAACCCAGTTGTTTAAATGGCGCTCATCAACTTGGATTCGATAGTACTGTGGAAGTCCTGCTTCTTTCATGTCGGCGTTCGATCCCGTACGGTGCGAGTGGCTGGACACCATTCCTTCCCTCCGTCCCATCCCAGGTCCTTTTCCCTCATATCCCTTTCAAATGCTGTATAGTAAGACTGGCTTAACAGTTTCTCCTCATAATTATCTTTCCTTGCCTCCTACTTTTGGTTCGAAAGTTCATATATTTTTTAGAGGGGGGGGGGGTTAAAAACAGCCCATATCAAATTCATTTATTTCTACTCTTAACTGAGCTAGAAGAGTGTCTCAAAGTGCATTCAAAAGGTAATCTTTATAATATTAAGTTGATATTGTTATGAGGAACATTTTAAAGAATTATGAAACAAATTATACCATTTTTATTTTTAAGATGTGTTCAACCCCCCCCCCCCCAGAGTTATCAATATTTTTGAGTCACATATAGGAGACAACCATATGTGTACTAGTGGCACTCTAGGAATTCCTGGGTATTTGCTTGTATATTCTGTAAATATTGATTGGAATGTTTGGCAAGTTGACTGAAAAAGGTGAAAACAAAAATAATCCTTTGATGTGAATTTATTATATTATAGTTAGTGAATCAAAGATATGTTTCATACATTTCTGTGTTTAGTTCATTTCACCCAGATTGGTAAAGGAAGTACAGTTGGGTTTATTCACGACTCACAATCAGGAATGCTGGGTTCGAATCCAAGGTTGGACAGAAATGGTTGGGTGCATTTCCTATCATTTAATTCTGGGTTCTGAACCCAGTTTTTTTTCTGGGTTTGAATCCTGGGTAGGACAGAAAGGTTGGCACATTTATTTTCACCTAATGCCCTAGTTCCTAGAACTACTTACCACTAGTTCACTAGTGGTAAGTAGATACTCAGGAGTTAATGAACTTGTTATCGAATTGCATCCTGGGCAGGGTCAGTAATTCGACTTTGTGGGGGACCTCGATAAAGGCGTAACGTGTTTGAATACACTCTGGCTTCCTGTCCCCTGACACAATGCATTAATATTATTATGATTATAAAACATGTTCATATAATTCTGTATTCCTTCTGGTAGATTGTTTATGTAGACGATGAACTTTACTGGTGCAAGAACTGAACCCTGTGGTACTCTGCTAGTAACACTCCTCCAGTCAGATACATTGTCTCTGATTACTGCCCTCATCTTTATGTCAGTTAGGACATTTTTCATCTGTCAGAATTCTTCCCTGTCACCACTCCAGCATGTTCCTGTTTCCAAAACAACCAATTGTGTGGGGCTATCAAAAGCCTTTTTCATGTCCAGGTAAACATAGTCAAAACAATCACCTCTGTCCCGTAGTATCTCTGTGGTTTTATCATAAAATCTAAGTAGATTTGTTACACATGATCTTCCTGTTCAAAAACCATACTGTCTGTTATTATGTCATTACTCTCCAAATGTTCTACCCATTTGGTTTTGACAATTTTTTCTAGTGTTTGGACTACCATGCCTGTTAATGATATGGGTCTATAATTTAAAGGTCTTCTTGGCTACCATCTTTATTGATTGAAACTATGTTTGCCATTTTCCATATATCTGCTAAGATTCCTGTGCACAAGAAGTCTGAAATATTAAGTGGGGTGGAATGCTCCACATGCTGGTACCTACACATACTGTACATACAAACTTGGGGAAAAACTTGGGTATAAATCTTTTTCGAATAATTGTTTCTTACCTTTTCAGTCAACTTTGCCAATATTTAAATCAGTATTAACCCCCTAAGCTTCTCTGGGGCCATTTGGCCTTTGTCACCCATAGGCGCATACAAAAACAAACAAACTTATAAGCCTGTTCATTTGTGTTCCCTGATCACAGGAAAAATAATAAAAAAATTGTTAGTGGCATATTTTGGCCGCAATAGGGCGGGGAAGTCTGGCAAAAATGAGGCATTGACAGAGCAGGCGCCGGAGGAGGTCTGCTCCGCCCCAGCTGTCAGGCGGGAGTTGCCACAAAGATATTATTACCAAATTATTTCAGTGTTTCTGATTTTTTCTTATTTTTTTGCAGTAATATTATTCAGTAGTGTGTAGTGTAATATGTTTATATAATAAAATGTGTAAATCATCGCTGTACTCAAAATTATGGTGTGCATATTACTGATTCCATTATTATGTTCATAAAACAATAAACAAATACTTTGTAGGTTATTGCACCATATACACTGGTTATGTATAAGTATCTGCATGTTTTGCTCACCATAATAAACCAACAAAATTGGTATGCAACAAAAATCAACAAAATCAAAAAGCAACAAGGAGTGGCCACCACATCTGCTAGCCAGCCACTCGCTGCCACTCCCTCCCTCAAAAACACCTCACTCACCATCATCCTCATCCCACCATACTGTTCTTGCTTATATTCACTATATACAGATGTTATATATGAGTATCTACATGTTCTGTTCACCATAACTGTTCATCTAAGCTGGTACAGTGGACAAAGAACACAGTGGCCACCCTTACACAGCATGACAAGTCAGGAAGATGATGCCACCTCCCTCACCAGAATGGCTTCTCCTAACACTCCTTTTGCCGTTATTACACTCTATATTCACATTATACTGGATATAAGTATCTACATTTATGTTCACAATAACGAACCACTAAGATGGTATGCTGAGTCAAAAAGCAGCAAGGAATGGCCGGCACACCAGGCAGCCAGCCCCTGGTCGCCACTCCCTCCCTCACCTCACCTGACTCGCCAACATTCTCCTCCCACCATACTGTTTTTGCTTTAATTTACTATATACAGACGTTATATATAAGTATCTGCATGTTTTGTTCACCATAGCGAACCACTAAGCTGGTATAGTGAGTCCAGACAGTAAAAGGTGATCACGCAGAGTCAGCAGACAACGCACCTCCTTCCCCACCAAGATTACTCCTCCCACTATAGTGCTAATTATCACAACAATCCTGCTATTATCAGAATCCTTGTAATTTTTAGCACAGTCAGGGGTCTTCTGTAATACTGTCATCGCTAAATAATACCAGTTTCATATATTTTTGACAATTTTAAACGATGCTGTGGTCACAAGCTGAACAGCAGTGCTGTGAGCTCATGCTGTATGCGCCATCCTTGGGGGCTCACTCAGTACTGAGGCCCTCACACCCGGGAATGTTGCCCACAATTTAAAAAAAAAATGGCGTCTGTTTACAAGAGCCCAGAGGAAGGTGAGGTGAATCCTGTGTATCCCCGGGCCGTTTAAATCTTGCGTAGTACTGTAACACATCATATGACGTGCTGCGCAATTTTGCGTATGTTACTCAACACGTCATATGATGTGTTGCGCAGTTTAAGGGTTAATATTTGCAAGATTTGCAACCAAGTATTCAGGAATTTCTATTCTTCCATTTCCAATATGTGAATTTTGAAAATAATGTATTGATTAACCTTTGGGGGTTGAACCCCCCCTTCCTCCATAAAAATGCAGTAATAATTGACTATATTTTTTGTTTACTTCCATTTTAGGGTGTTTCTCATGACAACATAGTACTGTATATACTTATTATTTGAAAGATTTCATATTGAGGCATTCTTCTAGTTCAGTTAGGAGCCGAGTTAGGTAAATTTTAAAATATGGTGTTCCTGCAAACCCCAAAATAGAGGAGGGCCATAATTTTTTAACCTTAAGTTGGATTTATCTGAAATTTTTGGATAAATACAAAGATATAGACCAACTTACAGAAAAATTGAAAGGGGGTGTGGTGTTAATTTCACTTTTCCAGCAAGCCCACTGGTGTTGGTCTTCATTTTCTCTGAAGCTATCTTGCTGAGATTGCTCCATACCAAAAGGTCACATCAGTCACAAAAGTTCTGTTTAGCCTGACAGCTGAGTGGACATCGCTTTGGATTCATAGTCCTGAGGTTCTGGGTTCGATCCCCAGTGGAGGCGGAAAGAAGTGGGCAGAGTTTCTTTCACCCTGATGCCTGTTACCTAGAAGTAAATATGTACCTGGGAGTTAGATAGCTGCTATGGTCTGCTTCCTGGGGAAGTGTAACAAAAAGGAGGCCTGGTGGAGCACCGGGCCACGGGGACACTAAGCCCCAAAATCATCTGAAGAAGAGGAGAAGATAGCCTACCAGGGATCAGAACCAGAACCTGGCTCCCTCAGAGGCACAAGGAGTGGGTGACAATTCACCACTCCACCGGAAAAGCATCCAGAAAGTCAATGAAACTTCACAGACAACTGGAGGGTTCAAAGAAAACGAAGCCTCAAAACAGTCAGATGACTGCAAATGACTCAGAACTAGGGATTCACTCAAACTAACTCGAAACTCATTAGTACTGATCACCACCATCAGGTGGCCTGCCTCATCCTGTAACCTGCTCCCCTGATCAACCAGGTTTGTTGCTGATGTAGTGACATGAAGTTCTCCTTGTAGTGTTCCAGTCAACCATTGTTGCAAGCCCCACTGCTTCAATAGAAGTGCCGGCAATCCATGCCGGCAATCCATGGAGTTTATCTTGCAGGGGGACAGTTACGTATTGTGTTCCTTATTTTAGTGTTGGCTTCACCTGTGTGTTTTCTGTCCACCTTGTTGTGTGGGCTTGATTCTTGTTGTGTTCCGATCTGTAAGAACTCTTGAGTTTTCTTCACTGGGTGGCCACTAATGCTGCCCTTGCACAGCGTTATCTTCACTGGTGTGTTCGGGAGTTTGCCCTCTTAGAGGCCTGGTCACTGAGGTAAAG